AGCTCTTCAGCCAACCAGTATCAGTTCCAGATTTTGACTCAAATAAGAAGCTTGACCCAATTTTGTAGGGAAACAACTAATAACGAACATGGATTCTCATATGCAAACTTCGTATTACGTGAAGGCGATACACCGCCATTAAAGTTCTGTTCCGTCTAATTTCTACAATGATAGCTCAGAAGAGCTTTATAATCAAAATTATCTCTATTCCCTGGGACAAACTATTGCAAATCAAGAAGCAATTCTTTGAGCAAGCTATAAAGCTTAGAAAGTATCAGCTTAGTTTGGTGTCCACAGAAGCCTTCTCACTCCCACAACTGGTACCCAGACGCAAAAGTTTAGTGGAATCTCTTGACATTATATCCAGACCACAAGACATTTACATATAAGCAACTAATCATATGGCACAGCATAAAGCAAAAGAGGTCTGGGAAGTTGATGCTGCCATTTTATGCATTTGGTCTTCCATCTTAGAGATAACCTATAATTATTGTGATTTTCAGTAGACTTATGCTAAAGTTTCAAAGCTCTAGGCTCTACATTTTAACATACTAGTATTGTGGGTTCAGGTTCACAGTACTGACTCAGGTTCATGGTGCTCACTGACTTCAGTAGCTGCACAGACACTTTGTCTGGACCAGCCTTCTTGACCATTATGATGGCAATGTTGGACACACAAACAGTTTCTTCTCAAAACTCCATCAATGGTAAGCTGACTTTGTTGCTCAGAACCAATTGCAGCTAGAAGTTTGAGCACAGGTACCAACACGGGGTTTTTCAAAATAGTCAACGAATCCTGAGAATTTCCATCTTGTTTTCAAAGTGCACAATTCCCAAAGAGAAGGCTGCTGCCAACAGTATGATGCCCTTCCCAAATGATGCAGAAGCTACAGCAGTATCACAGCAATCCTTCAATGTGTGAAGAAAAAGATCCTATCAATGATTTTCAAACAATTACATATGCTGCATTGGAACAGAATAGTTAATTACCACAGCTGTTTGCGAAGAAAAGTTTCTTTTCCATTTTACTGCAACTATAAAACTCATCACCAAAGAGCTTCCATCTTTCTCTACTTCACAGGTATTAATATTGTCCTCTGATTAAAAAACCCAAACACAACAAAACAAAGCAAGCAGATTTAAGTGCAAAAGGAAAACATCACATAAGGTGAAATTTTAGGGCAAGTCTGACCACAAATTAAGAAAAAGACCCACAACAAAAGAGAAATAAAATTGAACATAAAAAGAAGATAAGGTCACTGACTACACACCACTAGGATGACTGAGTATTATTAGATAATTTACTTTTCTTGACGCTAAGGGTTTTCATTCAACAGTTAAAAGTTTTGCTGCATAAAGATTAAACCTTGCCCATTGTCCTCTCAGAAGTGTGGAGGCAAACAAAAGAGAAGGGTGGAAGCAAACAACAGAAGTGTCCAGAATCACTGCAACCTGTCTGGTGAAAAATACCAAACTGCTAGAGTTAAGGCAGACACTGTAAAGCATGACAACAAAGTGAGCCATTTGTAATGATCATCATCAGACCCTTAGCCATCCATTTGCTGAAACCAGAAACTTGGCTAATGCAGAGCTGGCTAACTTTCTTGACCTCATCATCTTAACGACTTATCTGGCTAGGAGCCACAAGATGAGATGGTCCAGAAATTTTTCTTGAGCAGAAGATCTAGACAACTTTTATGGGGTCTCACCACACCAGTATAGGGCTGAGCATCATTTGGCTAAATGTGTAAACAAACCAGAGTCAAACTAATGATAAAGGTTGCAACAGTCCCTACTAGGTAACTGTATGCAAGAACCAGAAATTTAGGTGGTCAAACACTGAAACAGCTTGTACAGAGTGGTTGTGGATTTTCACTGATTTTCAAACCTCACTCTTGACAAGCCCGGAGCAATCTGGTCTAATTTTGAAGTTAGCCTCTTTTGAAGATGTCAGACTAGATGATGTCCCTTTCCAACCTACATTATCAGTTCAACTTTTAAATTATTTTTACAATTTTGTGTTCTTGAGCTAGAGTGATTTTTGTGCCTTTTCCCAGTACCCTTCCTAATTTTTCAACATTGTGGGAAAAAAAACAACCAAACAACAAACCAATGGACAACAGGACTGAAATCTGTATTGATGCAAAATTCAGATCATCAGTATAACCAAGGCAGATTAATAGACTGTATGATTTCCTTACTCTTCCTCTCTATTGAACAAAATTTCTGCCCCACCACATTAACTTTCTATTTGGGACTTCAACTCACTTTTTTTTTTTTGCCTCTATGATCCCCAATTTATTCTAGGGTAGGATTTCCTGTTAAGCAGGTAGGATCTGTAACAGCCAGTTTCTAAATTTACAACTTTGGATTTTGCTGTGCAATAGCAGACTGTTTGAGTGGGTCCCCCTAAGCAAATGATCCAGGTGACTGTAGGAGTAAACCTTTCTATCCTCTACAAGTTAACAAAAGCAACTGCTTTGCAATATCAATAAAAAAAAATAATTTTACTTGGAGCATGCTTCCTCCCACTGTCCCCTTCAAAATCTTTAAAAAGCTTTTTAATAATTTTACGGTTTTATTGATACAGAGGACTAGGGGGAGTTGTTTGTTATTTAAGAAAAAAAACTCTATCAAGCCATAACTGCAATATACATATTAGGTATTTACACCAAGGAACCTTGCTCTAAACCAAATTACATTAGGTTTGTCTTTTCTAAATAAAGTTTTCTTTCCATCAAACAACCTCAGCATTAATTCTAATAATATACTTTCAACATTTACTGGATCCCTTGGCTGTCCCTCCGTTATTTTTTCCCAGTATTGATATGAGACTAAGTAGTTACTTAGGTCATCCTGCTTGACCTTTTAAAATAAGAAATCTTCAAAGTCTTCTGGAATTTCCATTGTATTTTATGTTATTGGGAGGGATGCCTCAGGAAAGAAATATTCTCAGCCAATTCTTTAAGAACTCATGGGTGCAGATTACAAAGACTTGCTTAAAGCCTTTGTTAAGAAATGTCTATCATGGAATCATTAGTCTCTTCCTTGTAACTTCTAGATCTCAAGTATTTAAGTCACCTACAAGATACTGTAGTGTAGTCTCACTTCTATCTAAAAAAAAACCCCAAATATTTGCTGTAATCTTCTGGCTTTTCTCTTTCACTGTGGACGATATTACCATTGTCACCTACATTACTGTTAAAATTATTTCTCAAATTTTAACAATTTCACCTTCATTATCCTTTGTTTACTAGTCATGGCTTTCTCTCAGGAACATTTTGTTTCTTTTAACCAGTTTTCCACATTTTCCACAATGCACTCGATGCCATCTCTCTACAACCATCCTTGCACTTACACTTTACAGAAAAGGAGAGAGGGGCCCTGAACGGCTTTCTTCATGCTGCAATGAAAGCAAGACTGGTTTTTACCAGTCTTTATGGACAACCTTTATAATTGTTAACTGCAATTTCTAGTATAATTTACTTGGGGAAATCTGCCATATACCTATTTACATACCTTCTCACACACGTACCCACACACATTTTGGTACTGGTTTTAGTCTGGACATCCATATAACCAGACTTCTAAACAACAAACAAAATTGTGTCCCATATCAAATCTCAAGTTATCACTAAAAAGAAGTTATCAGCAGTTTTGAAGTAAATGAGATACCTACAAAAAAAGATTCACTTGGCCCAAGTTGTTGGCATGGGGCATTTTACTCCACCGTACCAATGCAGAAGTATACCTTTCCATATTATCAATAAATTCCCCTGTCCCCAATATCAACCAGTTATAGTGCTCTTTCCTAGCACATTTACATATTCTTTATTGGCCTTAATTCCCAGTCCATTTCAGAATGGCTCCAACACTTCTAGTCCAAATCACTATCATTTTAAGCTCAAATAATCTACCTGCCTACTTTGCACTTCTACTTTAGTTTTATTCTCTTTGATAAACTTTTTTTTTTTCCTTTAACTGGACGAGGCCGGCCTACTGCCTGTTCCACATTCCTACCATGAGCTGCTGCCTACCTTTAAGCAACCATGTTTTCCTTGGCCTGCTCATGCATCTTCAATTATCTCTTCTCTCTAGCTCAGACACTTCCTCCATCCAGTCATTTTCTTTTACCGTCTCCCCTTTCCGGTCTCCCACCCTGTCACAACTTTTCGATTTGTAAAATAGAAACAACGCAAATACATTTGTGCAGAACTAGCACATCTGCTCCATGCAGTCATTTCATGCACTACATGCATAACCACAATACAGTATATTATGTAATTAGCAATACTGTTATTTTCTTAACATTTGCTGCCCTAGGGCAAGCTTATTGTTTTCTGAGGAGGGAGATCAGATAAATATTTCCTGATCTGTTTCACTATTTACAAATACACCTTTTTAAAATTTACATAAACGCACCTGAGAATGTGCATTTACACTAAAGCATACATGGACAACAGTTAAGCGTCCAACACTTTTAACAGCTTTGGCAAAAAGAAGAGAATTCACACTACAAGCAGGATAATAAAGTTTCTTCATGATACCATGAAGCCAAAAAACCACCACTGGTGGATTCCACTTTTTTAATTCTGCACTTTTTTCAGGGGTAAACTCACAGTATCGCTAAGCCTCCATATGCATCAACTAGTGTCACTACAGAGACAAAAATAACACAGTAGCAAAGCAGCAAAGTGTTTCAACCAAACAAAACCAGTACCATTAGCAGCAAAATCTACATGCCAAATTTCTATTATTTTTTTAATTCTTCAGTTTTACTTAAACAAACATTATACAGTAATTACTAGTTCCCTGTAACAGCAGCAACCTAAAAATAGTTACAGCAGGAACAGATGACTTCCGGGCTTCCCAGAAAACGCCTCTTATATTTAAATTTAATTCCTGGCACTACGCCAAAGTGGGGGATGGGCAAGCTAAATGGAAGAATAACTTCAAAGGCCTCTAAAACATTAATGCAGAGAACAAGTTGCTCCTCTTACCTGGCCAGGCGGCAGCACGTGCAAAATGAGCTTCCTCCTCTGAGTAAGCCACTGACATGTAGCTCATTAGCATAAGTATCACGAGCTACAAGTAGGCTTCCAGGTCGGCCATCTTGACACCAAGATCTTGTTTACACAGGAGCATGAAAACTGTTTTTTTAAGCCAGCCTTATGCTGTGGTACGTCTCAGCTCATAGCCTACAGCTGCTTGTCAAAGCCTGCTGGAACTCCCACTGCTCCAGGCAAGTGGCTGAAGGTGTGGGGAGCGCAAGGGAGCCTGCCACAGCCTCCAAGGGACACTTGCAACTGCGAGTGCCTCCAGTCGGGCTCTTTGTGCTGCCTTCTGTGCTGCCAACTATTAGCACTGCAGCAACTATGTGCAGTGAAGTACCTCCCACATACCACACGGTAGTACCAACAAGCAGAAATTTATTACAGCGCAGCGCAAGGCTGCACACTTAAGAAAAAAAAAAGAAAAAAAGATGAAATTTCCTCAGCAGTTTCACTTACTAGCAATCTAATTACACCTGGGTTCCTTTGAACATCTTTTCACATTCATCAGGGCTGCTCTTTCGGTTCAGAAAGCGGAGTGCTCCTGCAATCCGAGCAGAGGAGCAGTCCATGACACATGTTGGCTGCTGCCGGCGCGGAGCCAGGCTGCAGTTACAGCTCGCTGGCGCCAGTAAAGATATACATGACAGGGGCCTCATTTCAGGAGTAAATTGCAACGGGGTACAGCTGAGCTACGCCTCTCCCCGCCCCCAGAGACTACTACGGGTTCTAGAATTGGTCGTCTGGTTATTTGCTTACTAATAATCCAGATCCGTGTCAAAATTCAAGTGTTGCTCTTACTGTTGGTATAAACTGAAACTGACAATAGTCTCTACAAAAGAAACTCCACCTTGAAGGCTGTTCCTTGTAGGATGTCACAGGCTGCACCGCTCACAGTGATTCGCGTGAGCCCTCTGTAGTAACTGAAATAATCCCGAAAATATGGCTATACTCGATGCTCAGCAACCAGCTTTTCTTAAACTGGTATTTCCAATATATCACAACCCAGCAATAACAAACAAATAAGTATCAGCTCCAAGTAAGACAGTTCCATTTCTAACCTAATGCTGACAGGTAACATGTCTAGCCATTTAATTTGTTAATTCCACTTCACATTTAATTTTTCTTCATTAAGCAGATGAAAAAAAAAATCCCCCACGCAGAGCTGAGGACTTTATCTTTTCAAGTACCTACAAGGTACAGTGACAGGTAGAGGCAGAAGCTTTGATTTCAGCCTCATTCTGACTTCAAATAGTTAATGTCTTAATTACTACCTTTTCCCTTCCAGTCAAAGACCAATTAAGTTAATAAATTAATTACAGTTTACAAATTCTTATTCTAAAAGTCACTGTACTTTGGGGGGGGGGGGGG